TCCATCCACATTATGTGACGACTAAATCCATTAATGCAGCCATTAATTGAAATGTCATCGTTTCAAAGTCCTGCTGATAACAATTTGATGCTGATGTGTTAAAAGATTATTTCCTTATTTGAAAAAACTGAAACCAAAATATCAGTGCAGTGGTAATATTATGACTTTATTCTTTACCACTTTTTTTCTTGGAATATGATTTTAATCTTGCTATAAAAATCTTGTCGTGTGGCCCTAATACTTTGTCGTAAGGGGACAGCAGAAGATAGAGAATACATTTTTTTTATTTTACCATTGTTTGACAAGACAAGTCCCATTGAGATCGCAGATCTCCTTTTTAAGGGAGGCCTGGGCCTGAAGGCAACCTGGGGGGTGTGGGGGAAACCGGAGCACCCGGTGAAAACCCACGCATGCACGTGGAGAAAATGCAAGCTCCCCACAGAAAAACCCCAGGTCCGAACTGGGGATTGAACCCAGGACCTTCTTGCTGTGAGGCATCAGTGCTAACCACTGAGCCATCGCGCTTCTAAAAGCTGACATTTTCTTTATGGTGATGTTTCAGGAACAGATGAGTTGGTTTGGTTACTTTATTTATAACAAAAAGGTAAATTTGTATCGCAGTGGTACAAAGCATACGTATCATGCAAGATGCTGCAGATCTTCTACAAGTCTGTTGTTGAGAGCGTCATCTCTTCTGCTGTCATCTGTTGGGGCAGCAGCATCAGAGCCAGGGACCTAAAAAAGGCTAAACAACCTGATAAAGAAGGCTGGTTCTGTTCTGGGGACGACTGTGGAATCTCTGGAGATGATGGTGCAAAGAAGGATTTTACATAAAATCAAGAACATTGTGGACAACCCTGACCATCCTCTTCATAAGACTGTCAGAAAGACAAAGTGTCTTCAGTCGGAGGCTTCTTCAACTTCGCTGTAATACAGACCGCTACAGAAGATCTTTCCTGCCCACAGCCATCAGCATCTACAATAAGTTTTTAGTTAAATGAGTTACAACAAGTGAGGAACCAGACAAAGCGCAGCCTGAAGACCCCTTATGATGGATGTAAACATTGGATCTGGCGTTCCCTCACCCGGACGCGGGTCACCGGGGCC